GTACTACTGCATAACTCACGGTTGTCTTCAAAGATCCAAGTAACGTATTGATGTCCACTTAACTTTTTTCAACGTAGCCTTCCACACGGCTGACGATTCCAATAACAGTAAATAACTCCAACAACTTTCTGTAGTCGGGCTCTGTAATAACACTAGCTCCTCTGGGCCCTTCGTGACAACACTAACTCACTGAAAAAGGTCTGACTTTAACCGATCGCGACTCCCTTATACATGTTTTTCAGAATGTCCTTGAACATTTTAGGGATCTGTAATACAACTATTCTTAGTATCATTACATTACTATTGCATCATAACAAAATATGCTGACTAAGGGTTCTAGAGAGTTCCATTAAAAAATTCTCAAGGAGTTAGGATGACTAAGCGTTCCAAAAACGTCTTTAGTTCTATTTTTAGGAATTATGTAACACAACGCTCTCCATAACAATTGTGAGACTCAAATTTGACCCTCTTGCTACGAGTTTCAGCTGTACAGTCTGACGTTTTTGTGAAATAGTTAGCGTGGAGGTGTGAGAGGTCTGGCCAGAACTTTCGAAGGTCTTCTAAGAGGGAGTGGAAGGCGTGGATATCAGCGATACTCCTAATCAGTTCCGGGTACGGAAATACGCGTTGTCAGTAAGAGGGAAACTAGGTTTGAGGGGCCTAACTTAACCTTTTCTGTTTCTTCTCTGTTAAAAGTGTTTACTACTCCATTTTATATCATTACTAGACTTAGATGAATGCCAACATGACCTGAATTATTGTCACAAGCTGGCCACGTGTACAAATGAACGTGGCTCGTACAAGTGCAAGTGTAAAGCTGGATATCTTGGAGATGGATTTGATTGTTATTACTATGCAGGTGAGATGTGTTGAAAAACAACTTGAAATACATTTTTATAGCCCTTTATGCCCAAAACTTTTAAGAACGGAAATATTTTAACTTTAACAAGAAACCGTCGGCTAAGCAGGGAAGTGAAAGTTTTGGTGTTTGTACTCCGCTCGAGATTTTAACCGAACTCTGGCTTTCTTATCAAACTTTGATAGGAAAAGAGCTGATTTCAAAATCTCCTCTGAGCCTTTTATTTATCTGAAAAAATAATTTTGGAAGATTGTTTTTCATTTTATTTTTGCATACATGAAAACTGTATTCCGCATGTGATAATTGAGTTCAAAATTCATCCCATTCCTATTGTACTGATTAACATAACTTCGCAGAAGTAGACAAGTTTCCTGTCTCAGGAACCTCAGTAGTTTATGCTTTGCATCACCAACGAATTTTCTTATGTTTAGTTGCTTGCTGGTGTTGTGTCAATGTTCGACATCTTTACACATTCACATGTAAAAATGTTATGGCAATGAAACAAAAAGGGGGTCAAAGGTGAAATAAACCGTGTGCTCCGTCTCCTGCAGGGTTAGGGGTAGGAGACGTTAATTTCTCGCGCACGAGATTACTGTGTGGTGGATGTTCTCCCCTGGGGTTGGATGGGTGGGTTTACTAGGCCCGTAGTTATTGGCGCAAACTGTTGCGGTGTCCCTGCCTGTCGGCGAATCTAATAAACTAAACTGAAACTGAATAATATTTATTTCCTGTTTTAAGGCCTGGGTTATTCGGCAATATTGGCAAACGATGACACTTACCTTGGAACCCTGAGCAGTTGGTTAAGCCCTGTTGTGCAGAGCCAGTCTTCTTACTGGAAGGGCTGTTGGCGAGCATCAGTGGATGGTTGGGCCAGCACTACCTTCCACTCATTGTGTGACAACAAAGGGCCGACAGTGACCATTGTCCGTGTGGGAAAATACATCTTTGGTGGATACACCAGCACGTCATGGAGTAAGTGCATGAGTGATCAAGTTTGCTTGCCTTTTCTCTTCGCTAAAATTAAAATCTAAGAATATATCTGGTCTCTACCTTGAAAAACAAAAACAAAAACAAAAAAAGAAAACAAATTATCAAACAGGCCCTTTATGTTTCGAGTTGGTGTTTTTGTACGTGGCACGATAAAACTGTGTAAAGTTTAAACCCCATGTTTAGATAAAGTATGTTATGTTATTTTACACCAAAATTAGATAACAAAGCATTCAGTTGAAGCATCGAAGAGCAACTGAAATGGCTAGGTGCGAATCAACACGTGTTTAAATACGTTGCTCTAATAAACGAGACTTGTAGTTTCTGGTATAACCTTAAAGGTAATTATTTCAAAATAATTGAAGCATCACAGTTGGAAATAGGTGAAATAACTGCATAAAAATGAATTGTGTGATTAAAAATCCCATGATATTCAATCTGGAAAGTTACTAGATTAAAACGTAGACGTGATTTTGCAGATAACGCAGAACAGTCCTTATACTTGTAAAATAAAAAAAGGAATAATGTGTCCACGGGAAAAAAAGCCGAGTGTGTATGGCTGTCTAAAACTTGAACAAAATATTTTTTTTCATTTTTCTCTCTGAATTAGCTTCCAGTTGTGCGTACCGGTACAGTTCATCGGCCTTTTTGTTCTCATTGGTTAACAAGCCAGGCTGGCGACCAGTGAAACTGTCTCAGACAGGAGTGTATGGTTCCCATAATGCTTATTCCATGTACGGTTGTTACGACCGTGGTCCCTCATTTGGTAACGGACACGATTTTTACATTAACAGCTACGCCTCATCCAATACAAATTCCAACACAGACCTTGGATACACCTACAGTCCACCAGCTGGCCACAGTCGTGACAGCTCCTTCACCAAATCATTCCTGGCAGGAAGTCATTATTTTCAACCTGATGAAGTTGAAGTGTTTTATGAAACTACTTGAAAAGAACATGTCGAATCAAGTGTAATAAAAAAAAAACGCTCATGATTTAAAAGCTAAAAAAAGTTATTTCAGTAAATTAAACTGTCTTATAATTTGCATGTTTCCCTTGCAGACTCCACATCGTTTAAAAGGCTTGTTACGTAAAGCAGATTCAGAGTAAACATGATGAAAAGTTATAGAAGGAATAAACGAATTCAGAAAAGGTCTTAATCAGAATGTTGACACGTATCGGTGAAAATTAAGATAATTAAAAATATCTCTTTTCCTTCTCATACTTGCTGAAACAATTGACAGTCATATGTACACTTATGCGCGCGCGCATGACCGCAGGATTACCGTGACATTAACTAGCGCTGCGCCAAAGACATATCTGTTTACCATCAAGCTACGCATGTGCGTTTGTCATTTAGGCAATTTTGTAATCGACCATTTATAGAGGTGACACTAGTTCACGTTTCATCGTTAAAAAAAATTACTTTTACAATAAATGGTATCGCAAAGTACTATCATTAACTTAATTCCAATGAGAAAGACTCATTAGCACGACATTTTCAACATCTAGTGACTTTCGATTTTTCAATTATCCTGAGAACAAATAAAACTGGTTTTAGTTTTTGGAAGGTTCGAGAATTCGGTATTGAAATCAAAGTGTTTGAATAGGAAAGAGAATTCGAAGCCACGTGCCCTCGAAGTCTCGAGGAACCCAGCGTAAATAGCGTAGCCACGATTTCACGGCCAACGTTGCTTCCGTGACGAATGGTTCGAAGGGATCTGGCACTAGTCCGCGCATAGGCCTCCCAATCGTGAAATTTTAACTTTCACTTTCATTGATTTGCACCTTACAGTCTCTTCAACTTTTCTCTCTGCTTATAGTCACTGTTAGAGATGANGATAAAAAGAGTATGTGGCTAAACTAAGCAAATTCTAACCCGAAAATCACTACAAAAATACAAATGGAAACAACTACATGCTAAGCTTAGGGCTCAAACAAACATAAAATACTGAAACATACAAAAAGCTAGTATAGCTTAGAATCTGCTTTAAGGGCACTCTCAGGAAGGCAACAAATCAACTGAACTCACCGAGCAAACGGTTGTAACTTATAGTAAAATACAGGAAAAGGTAAAAATAACTTAAAACCAAATTTGGGCTAGGAGCGGTTAATTAAACAGGAATTACCTAGGGGAAATCGGCAATTAAACAGGAATTACATAAGGGAAATCGGCAGTTAAAGGAATAATACAATTAACACATTACTAATACAGTTAACACATTACTAACACAATTAACATATTACTAACATTACTGACAAATCGCTAAAATTCCAGAAGATAAAATAAACAGAACAACATGTTTTAAGTAGGAAATAAGCCTAAGTGACTCTGTCACATAAAAAAAACGCATTTGGGTAATTTACACATTGCACTACTTTGTGAAACATGCAGCAATGTGTGTCGTGGTGCGACGTGATGGTATCGCCCTTTAGGTCAAGATTAAACGCTTAGAGGTGGAAAACGTGCGTCGGTGAAATCGGCATCGTTTGTGAAGTATGAAACTCACCACTACTTTCGTTTCATACACATGGTACTTTGCTTTAATAGGAAGCTACGTGATGTTACTGTCCCTCTGGGTCAAAATAAAACACAATGAGAAGCCAGTTATTGAACAAAAGGATCCAGAAGGGAAACAATGATGAGGAAGACTAAAGAACTATTCTTAGTTTATGGAATTTGGAAAACAGCATGCGGCTAACATTTAATTTTCATTCTTTTTTCGGAAAGTTGTAATATATGTTAGTTACCTCTGTTCTTCATTATCTTCATGGCTGGGACATGCACCTTATAAACTAGTGAAATGGTTATTGCAAAACCATAATCAAAAGCGACCAGTGTAATTAGTTAAATTCAACATTGGCCTTATTTCATTTCAAGTAAACGTGTAAGTCACCTGCCAGCTACTTTTTGACGTCCTATTGCAAAGCAAAAACAAAAAAAACAAAAAAAAACCGTAAAAGCTACATGAAGTTATTGAATTAATCCCTCTTCCATCTCCTTTATCGTATTTTCGTTTGATACCCATGACACTGTAGCACGATAAGGAAGAAAATTCAGACACAAAAGAAAGACGATAGTTCAACTGTTAAGTATATGTATGCTTTAACCTTCAAAGAGATCTGTAGTCAAATTCAGACACGTCCCCTCTTCGAGATTCTGCACTGATCTTATGGCAAAGGCATTTCATTAAATGGTTCAAGATTTGCCTTGCTATAAACGTTTACAAAGGGGATCTCGCTTTTGGGAGTGAAATGTTTTAGAGGGGTTTTTCCAACTAAATAAAACAAATGGCNCGCCAACAACAACAGTGATCTATGTATAAATGCAAGAATTCACTTTACTGAATCATATATAGATCACAGATCACTGGTACAGATCACGGCCATTTGGTCTGCGACGATAAATTGTTCAACTATGCTGATGCTGATTGTTTTTATCTCTGGAAATTTGTTATTAGCTGTGAAAGGTAAGACTGCATTAGTCATCCCAACACGATCCAGTAGCGAAAAAACGATTGCATTTGGACGAAATTGAGGTCAACAGAAATTAGTACCTATATTAATGTATTTTTGAGATATATCAAAACTCTTATTAATAAACAACAGAACTTGACCCCAATTAAGGCAATCGTTTAGTTGTTAATTAAGGATATCTGACACATTTGACAGCTAACATTGGTTTGCTTATTTAACGGTTGGCGGTAAAAATATAGCGTTTTTGACGTTGACAGTTAATATTTTGGCCATTTGACGGTTGACGGTCAACCCCTTTGAGACCATCTCAGAAATTTTTACGTGGGATTACTTCTTCACGAAACTTGCTTCGAAATATTTTTGCTAAAAGCTAACGGGATGCCTCAATTACCATAAAGAAAATTTCTTTTCTTTTGAAATGAATGTTTAAAATTAATTCAAAGACTCTTTACAGTTTAGCTTACAGTGAGAGGCTATAATTAAATGCTTTCAAAAATGGAAAATTTGATTCGTTCCTTATGGAGTTACAAAAATAATAAAGAATGATCAAGCTTCATAACCACTGTGACACTTCCTTTTATGAATGGTCAATTAAGAAATCTATAGGATAAGGTTTTTTTTATCTTTCGTCCGCATCAAGTCGTGTCCAAGGTATTGGTTCTTGACTCACTTCATTACGTGTTAAAAATTCAAATTGGGATCAGTCATGTTTATACCACTTCCTTGCCTAAAAAACCCTTCACATAGAAGAATAGGTCTTGGCATAAAAAAAATACTTTGATGACTACATTTTGTAAATGATACACTTATGTACAGTCAACCGATGTTAAGTAATGTTTCTTGTACTCTTGCTCAAGCTTAAACAAAACGAAATATAAGTCACGTGGCAAGTATTAGCCCGCGGGAAGTCCATAAGTAGGCCCCGTAAGTGCACATCTCAGTCGTGAGCAAGTTGAACGTTCTGACGTCTCAAGTCGTGTGGAATGTCATGTCTAATTTTTTAGTTTCTGCTAAGACTACTCCTTGGATTAACAGTTGCTTGGCTCCAGCTCCATGTTATCTTACGAAACACCAAAATACAAACTTAATACAGAAAATGAAAGCTACTTGGTTGTATCTTCCTCAAGAAAAAGTTACCACTCTGACATGTATATATGTATATGCACGTTATAAGACTTCTATTTCTCCTCTAGAGTCGCAGTTTTTCCTAAGTGGTTACGATTACGTCTGCAAGACTTCAAAGCTGAAATGCTTTAACGTTCTCACCAAATCCCTCTCACTAGTTTTTCCCTAATCAATTCATGAAAAAAATAAAGAGAAAGATCTCATTGTATCTTTAGAAAACAAATATGGTATACATTTTAACGTAACTTCTTGCGCTGAAGAACATCAACTTGTAAATGATAGTCATCCTAATTCGCCTGATAAGGTCAAAATGTTAAAATGAAAATATTAACAAATCTGACTGCAAAATCGAGCTGTTATCTACAAGTAGAATTGATCTGCATTATCTGTTGAATAAGCTTCCCTTGGAAAATATTTATCTTCGTATTAAGGGACACAATCATGCAACTACGAGACAAGAGAACTATATGGCCCAAATGGAATAGTTTTCGAAGTGTCGAAAAGCCAAAATAAGTTGATAACGGTCAGGCTGAACGTAAATTGACATCAACTAAGCCAGTAATAACGCAAAGTAAAAACAGAGACTTTTGAAAGCGGGGAAAATAAGGGCGACCTAATCGAGAGTGATTTCAGTTTTGCATTTAATTTTTTAATAGGGTGACGCGCACGTAAAGTTAACTAAAAAACCAGAACTATTCTGGATAATCTACATCACGCAATTGAAAATTGCTCTAAGATCAAAGAGTGCAGTGATGGAGACGTACTCTTACATGTTAGTCAAATCAGTAACTTTAATATGCGTTGTTTTTTCTGTCTGAACTTCTAACTCACGTTACAATGCCAACTGGTTCTTGTGATAAAGATACATCTCCTTACCTGTAGGTAACACTCTCCAAACTGGCAGGCTCAACATTTCTCAGACTCTGCAGGGTTGGAGCTGCAGCAGTGCGTGTTCACCTTCTCAACACTGCCGACTGCCTCGTTGCACAAACGTTGTATTCCCCAAGACATTCACTGGATCGGGGACGGTAAGTATTAGTCGGTGATCCGGAGCACTTCAAGGCACCATTCAACAGCGCCATGTAGTAATGAAAGGTCTTCGGTTGAGCAACACTCAGGGAATATTAGCGTCTTTCCACTCGATCGATTTCATTTTTTGATCAATCTCTAGGTCGACTCGATTCTGTTGATTCCGTAACTTTGTCAATTAAATCTATTCCACTTTACTTCTCCCCACATGAAATACGTTTCTTGTGGGGAGAAGTAAAGTGTAATCAGCTGATCTTCTCCTTACTAGGTTGCCACAGCGCCAACTGTGACCACATTTCCCTGGATAGCATTCATAGTATCCTAATAACTTCAGTTTGTGTTTTGACGTAAGATATTCCGTCGTAATTAACACTCTATTTGGCACCGTAAATTAAAATTCCAGAGGTTAAGAACGGGCATCGAAAGACAAATTAGACGCAATTAACTCTGAAGCTTTGGAATCTGAAAAGGCGAGACACCTCTGGCACGTACGCTCCAGAGATCAGCACGATACGTCGACTACTTGAGAATGTTGAGTTATTTCGCTTGAAATGCGTGTACAGGTCAATCTCATTATCATCAAGTAACTGATAATGCCTTACGCGCCCTGGCTTCAAAATTGCAGGTTAACGTTCACGTGACGGTCAGCCATGGTGAGGCGTTCTCACGCGTCCATTCACCGTCAGCTATGTGGGTTAAGTCGGTTACTACGCATGACTTTGAAGTGTGTGCTCGTGAGTCAGGTATTGGATCAAATGGTACAGGAATCATCAACTGGTTGGCTTTCCAAGATCATCCTCAAGTGACGCGTGGTAGAGTTTCTTTTACTGGAATATGGACAACCGAAACTAAGTGTGACAAAGTTACCTTCTCACAGGTAAGAAGAAATAAGGAAATAAAACAAAACTGGAAAGTCAACAATCAAAATTTTACAGTCTGCGCAATGCAATCTGGGAGGAATGGAAACAACTTCAATCCTTTCGCCACCATTGATTGGATGGCGTATCAAGGAGCACCCCCCGAGGGAATGACGGGAAGAATCAAAATGACAAAATGGTGGTCAGGAACGAATTGTGCAGATGTGACGTTTCGAAAGGTAATAGTTGTTTGCATACAGATAATTCTTTGGTACATCCGGGTACATTCTCGTCTCATTGGCTTAAATGAGGATAAAAACAACAAATGATACTGATAACAATTTTTTTGATTGATGATGATAATAATAATAATAATAATAATAACTACTAATAGCAATAAAATTAATACCTATTTACATAACAATCAAATATATAAGAAGAAAACAAGATAATAGCTTAGTTTCAAAAAAATCTGAGCAAAAAACTAGGCTGGAAACTTCTCTTACGAGGCTCGCGAGTTTCTAGGAGAGTTAACTTAAAGCAAAGTATTGTTGATCTCAGCAGCGCAAAGGAAACACTCTTGCCCTGATCCATGACTGTTCTGTTGTGATGTCTTGCAAAACTGGTTCGATTTCAATACCATTGCACACCATGCGAAGTATATCCGCCCCCAAATCCCTCATTTCATTATGGCGTTGTATGATAAATCCGCCCCGTTTGCATATCATAGCATGATCCACAGTGAAGATGTCCCCGCAAATACAGAGAGAGGGCGTATCAGGAACTTTTCAGTCGTTTCTTGAGTTTCACATCGTCTCGAGACTCACTTTTGTTTTAATTGGCAAAACAGTAAGCGAACTAGAAGCACCCTTCTGAGTGGCAAGGTCAACAGCTCTCAAAGTTTTTTCGGAAATCGAGCTCTTCACCACATCAAGTTTTTGCTTCAGATACGTATATTTCATTTGGCGCATCTCCCGTTACACAGGGCGTACTTCATTTCAGTAGGTTGGCTCAGGTGCCTGTGATTCTATTTGTTGGGCTAATGGACTAGTAATATTAGCGGATGCTACATACTCTACGGCTGCTACTTGACTCGGATTTATTAGGCCCATGCCTCCCATTTTCGCTGGCAGCGCCAGCAGCTCGCATTCAGCTTTTGTACATTTGTGATCTGTAATCATTTCGGCATAAGCAATTGTACGCTTCAGAGGTCCGAGTAGATCCTCTATGTCAGGCAGAGTTCTCATAAAGTACGTCCAGAGGAGCTTTAATCCAAAAGCAAACGCTGGGTAGCAAGCCAGTTGGGGCTGCGACAGAGCAAACTCAGCCAATTTTGTCACTTGCCCTACCCATTCCTCGACTTTATCGTTGACGCACTGCTCAAGATAGGACCTGGAGCCCATAAAAATGATTATAATGATAATAATAACGATGGTGATAATAACAATAATAGGATATTCTATACACAAGGCTAAAAAATCAGGAAAAGAATTATTAAAATGTTTAAACCAAACGTTTTTGGCTGTTTTCCATCATCAGGGTTGAAAATAATGACCGTCTGTACATACATATATATCTTATGTGATTCCCGATGGGAAAAGTTTGAAGACATTAGAAATAACTTGTTTGTTCAAACTGGGGCGGAATTGTTGAATCATTAGCCCCTCGACGATCCTACGCTTGTGAAATGTTTCTGCTGTGGAGAGAACACGCTAAGTGGAAGAATGTGATGGATTTTCCCGCAAGTGTTTTGCAGGTTCAGAGGTTTGAGCAGGATTTGAATGCTCAATCGACCACTTCCTCGATACTGCCTTTAGTTAGAACAACAAGTTTAATTGCAGCGTCTTTAAGAAACCGGGAAAACTACCAACATATTGGAAATCTGAGGTCCCTACTAAATGGAAAAGGAATTGCATCACTGGCGTACTCCATAGAGCCAAACGCATCTCTACCGATCTTGACAGGGACATAGAAACTCTTAAAACATCTTTTGTCAGTGCAGGTTATCCCAGGCGTTTTGTTTCGCATACAATCAACGACTTTCTAAACGACTCAATGCAAGATGACATCATTCCGAATTTTCTCTTCGAAGACCAAAAGAAAGTTTTTATCAAGCTTCCTTTTTGCGTTAGAAACGAGAGACTCGGTAAGACGTTTGTTACAAAACTCAACGAGTTCACTAATTTTAATTTCATCTTTGTAATCCTGTGGCAAACACGGCAAATTGAAAGCTTTAAAAATACTCACAGATCCAAAGTAGTTTTACAAAGGAGATTGTTCTTGTGGCGTTAATTATATTGGCGAAACTGTGAGAAATTTAACAGTACGTATTTCGGCGCATTCAAATCCTACTCATACCTCTGAACCTACAAAACACTTGCGGGAAAATCCATCACATTCTTTCACTTGGCGCGTTCTCTCCTCAGCAGAAACATTCCACAAGCGTAGGATTGTCGAGGGGCTAAAGATCCAACAATTCCACCCCAGTTTGAACAAACAAGTTATTTCTTATGTCTCCAAACTTTTCCCATCGAGAATCATATCAGATATATATGTATGTACAGACGATCATAATTTTCAACCCTAATGATGGCAAACAGCCGGAAACGTTTGGTTTAAACATTTTAACAATCTTTTTCCTAAACTTTTAGCCTTGTATATAGAATATCCTTTATTAAGCGAACATCGTGGACAATAACAATAATCTTTATTTTTTATTATAATCACTATAACAATAATGATGATAATAAAAAGACGTTCGTAAAAGAAGTTAATGCAGACAGCAATTCACTATAATTTGATATCATTTTAATATTTGACCCCACTGCAAATTACTAATGATTCAGATGACTTTGTGAAGATCAATGCAGACCAAACTCAATTTAAAGAAACTGCCAAAATGTAGTCAGATTTGTGATGAAAATGTTTATTTTCATGTGTTTAGGACAAGTTTAAGGATTCACCAGTTGTTCTTGTCACATCTGATCACCAAAGAAGTGGAAAGGAACACGACGCTGCGTTTATCTGGACAGAAGATGTAACCAAGAACTCGTTCAAGGCTTGTTTGCGGGAGCTACAAAACTTTGACGGCAAGCATCAGGACATTTATGTGGTATGTGATGTGCTTTCTCTCTGTTGAAAAATAGATGAAGCTTTGAGATTAGGGTTATTTTCTTAAGGCTCACCAAGTTATCGCCTTAACTCAGTAACACGCTTGGATCTCTGCATTTGTGCTCAAATTAGATTAGAATTCTCTTAGTTTCATTCCATTTCAATTTTATTCATTCAAGTTTAAGATCTTTTACTGTGTGAAATCATTTTAACTCATTGAATTTGCGTTATGGTACTCACTAGAAGTAAGTGTTGTTTTTTGG